ATAGAACAGAAATTAACTACATGTGAAATATGCTATATTTGCAAGCGCAAGGTCAATAAAAACACAAAAAGAGACAGGGTTACGAATACCAGCATTAGAGGAAAGTCAGAATAAGACCATGTCTGGGTTATTCTGACAGACAAAGAACGAAATAGTTCAGTCATCTAGTGAGAATGCAGCTAGAATAAAATGCATATGGGACGTTTTACAGCAGAATATATGGGAGGAAGGAGAGAGGAAGACCCAAAAAAAAAATAAAAAAAAAAAATAAAAAATAAACGGTGTAGCAGAAACCTGCAAAAAGATGAACAAATCCGTCACGCAAGTCACCTAAAAAGAGCAAGACAAATACGGCAAGACACTGTGCTACAACCTGGAACCAGTGAGAATACAAAAAAGGAAACATAATTCAACTAGAAAAACAGCCTGTCAGTAAATGGGCCATTCTATGAGTTGATCAAACAGGTCAATAACAAAATGTCAATCAATTTATTGGCTAACCAACCACTCAACTAAACTACAGTATAACTAATAACCAGCTAACATACAAGCCAAACAACAAGACTAAAGTATTTAACCAACAAACAAACACGTCAGCCACCAACACAATAAGCAACGAACTGATTGCTGCTTCTTCTTCTTCGTCTTCTTCTTCGTCTTCTTCTTCTTCTTCTTCTTCTTCTTCTTCTTCTTCTTCTTCTTCTTCTTCTTCTTCTTCTTCTTCTTCTTCTTCTTCTTCTTCTTCTTCTTCTTCTTCTTCTTCTTCTTCTTCTTCTTCTTCTTCTTCTTCTTCTTCTTCTTCCTCTTCTTCTTCTTCTTCTTCTTTTATGTCCTCTAGCACCCAATAAAGCACAGACCATTAACAACTCACTCCAATTGGTTCTATCCTTCGCTACTGCATGCAACTCATTGTTTGCAGGTTTTTTCCCATGTCCACCCCGTATACTTTAAAAAAAACAATTCACAATATAGTCTTTTTTTTTCCACAATGGTAATTGTATGGGCTACATATTGTAGCTTTTTTTTTAGTCTCCCTCAACACAAAACTATGGATTACTGGGGAAACAAGAATAATGGACTTCCTGATCCCAATATACTATATAATGACAGACTTTTACAGTTTTTAACAAATTTCAGCTGTCTTGTCTTTTTCTAAACTGTTCAAAAACACATGGAGGGTATTTAAATTTCTCACGGTCCTGATCGAATTTTTCCTTCTTTCTTTCCTTAATGAAGTCCAGTTCCATCTGCTTCCTTCTGCGTTTTTTCTGGTGAAAAATTATTTCTGAAGTTGTTCTTCATCACGTGTAATTCAATAGAATTTTTCCTTTCATCTGCCGTGTTTGCGTCTTCGTGTATAATTTGCTAGCATCTTATTGACAAGAATTAAAACTAATTGCTCGTGCTCATACACATGTCCCAGTCCATTGCACGGTTTATTTCTGTAGCCGATTTCTCTCAGTTCTGTGATCTTCGCTAGGAGGTTTTACACATTTATTTAAGCGTGAAAAACTTCACCAGTGCAAACATATCATTTTTATTGACTTCCTTCCTCGTTTCCCCTTTTGTTTATTTATTATTTTTTTAATTGTTTTCAAAACACATTAGCTACGAACAGTGTTTGTCATACCTACTGATTTCGGCAGCCCATTTGTTATTGTAGATGTTTTTAAACTTTGTTGTTGTGTTAAAACAGTGTATTTATTTATATTGTAGACGTGAAACATTTTCAGGTTTGTTTCGTTTCAAGCTCATAGATAGTCATTCACAGAAAGCGTAAAGCGTAGATGTAAACAGTTTCAACAACACTGGTTGCTGGGATCATCAAAATCCTCAACTGGCACTCCATTTCTTTCTTCAGCTACACTACTATTCCTCCAATTCAAAGATAGTTAAATATGGTGATACTATTATTTCCTCTATGAATACTTTTACGCGTGTTATTCAGTTCTATATTTGCTTGTCGTACCTCATCAAGACATCCCACAAGCGATACACACCCGGTGACACAAAGTGCCACCATGCGTATGAGGATTACTGTGGAGAGGTCCCAGAAACCACTTTCAGCCGTTATGGCCACATTTGTGGCCCAGCTATATTCAGGTATTCAAAAGCCAGGGTGGGACTTCAAGTAACGAAAAATTGCATCCCACAAAGGGATGACTGATGGTGAACTATGTAGTTCTATATTTATTATTCGCATCCTATATATATATATATATATATATATATATATATATATATATATATATATATATATATATATATATGTTCATCACAAACTGTAGCTAAAAGAAAGTGCCGTATAACGCTATACAGACATTAAGATAAGATAGAACCACTATCCCTTAACAAGCTTCTAGCACAAGGTGCCAACCATCCTTTTAAAGGCAGGCACAAGCAGAAAAAGAAAAAGAAATTAATTTATAGAACAAAGACCAAGCTCTCACTTCATGTAAAATCTATAAGCCAGCTGTCATAGCCGTGGGATGGCCAAGTGACTATGAGGTAGTTATTACTTACTACCACTTTACAGAAATTGCTATTGGACGTGCCAGCTCGCTTTGGCTGCTAATCCTTACACAGGAGGAAATTTGTGACAGCTGTTGACTTAGGCGGACAGTATACATGTTAAGATCACGCCCGTTTGGCTTCCAAACGTGCAATACATGGCTATTGAACATTCACAATTATCTCAACGATCTACCGAGATTCTCATTCGGACTAAGAGGTTGGAGGTATTTAGTTATCATTGGAAGGTTTCATCTTTAAGGAGATCGTGAACCTCGGGTAGATTAAAAAAATTTTTATCCTGATATCAGTAGCCATATTTTGTCTGGACGATTTTTTACCCATAGTTAAAAAAGTCAAAGGAGGCAGGCGAAATTTTGAACAGGTTTCAGTTGGAACCATCTGTATAAGAACTCTTTGTTAGCCACTGAAGAAGAAGGCGAAGCACATATGTGAATGTACCGAATGCTTTGAAGTCAGATTTTATTCATTCATTCATTTTCTCATATATTAAGTCATATGAAGGTGGCTATGCTTTGCTACCGTTCACTGGACTGCTTAAGTTCGGGAAAGCAGAACACGTAGTCTGTAAAGGCTGTAATCAGTCAAGCATTCAGTCAGTCAGTAGGTCCTTTACAGAAAGCATGATACCCGGCTCTCTAGCGTAGTTGTATAAACCGGATTGAGCGGTGACGGGGTGACGAACTCCTTGTGGCCGGGAACACTCCCGGGGGTAGGCAGAAAAGCCATATTTCTCAGAGATTTACGGTATTTACAATGGAATCAAGGCCGAAAGGTTGCGATATCCATAATACCGAGCCTAAGGGTTAACAAACTCATGGCTTCTGGATACTAAAAACAAAACAAAAACTGAAAGCACGCCACTCTCTCCAAAACACGCTTGAAAGTCTCTCTTTCCTAAGCCAGTTCTCAAGCATTTGGTGCCTTCGGAGCCAATGCATCTTTGATGTCTTATATCCACCTTCACGGAGGTCGGTCCCTGTCTCGTTTTTAATAAACTACACACTCTATCACCGCACTCTCCAAACCCCCTTGACATGTGACTTGTTAAAAAACGTCAGTCTGGAGAGGATGCCGTTTATGAGCCAGTTCTCCTTGATATTCAGATCATGCCTGATGTCGACGCTTGTCTTCGTCTCAGTGCACTAAGAATTTGTCTCTAGCATTTAGTTCAAAAGCTCACATTTTCTTCTTGAAATACTGGGCCAGTCCACGAGCCAGTGATCACCACAAGGTCTAAAATACCCTAGTCGTCTCTTACGACAAGCTGAAAAGGTTAGGGTATTACAGTTAGTTTCTTCCCCGATACACACTGGGTAATGCAAGGATTGCTTTTTTATATCTTCAAAAAGAACAGAGCGATAGACAAGGTGTAGACAAGACCAGAAGAGTAAATGTTAGGCGGATAATAATTAATGGCAAATCACCAGGCTCGTTAAGGAAAATGACCAACGCAACATGGCATGGACATTGAAAAGAAACGAAGCAGACTTTAGATAGATGTGTTTGTTGAAGACCGCCTACCGCTGCTTTTTACAATAGTATCCAGACTCGACCGTTGAGTGCAATGGCTAGTTACTGAAGGTAGCAATGACCTAGTCAAATCATACAGTCAAAACATAGCTGGGCTGGTTCTGCAACATCATGTAAAGGATATGCAAATAAACTTTTGCTTATTTATTTTTGTTATTTTAGGAAGAAAACAAGTTTAAAACAAATTATATGTCCTTAAATTTTTAACTACGTGAGTGTCGACACATCGGCAACGACGTATCCGTTTTAACTACAACCAAAAGACGCAAAATACAATGATGTAGACATGTAATAACATCTACTGGTCTTTCCAAAACCACACAGCAGGACTCATTAAAACGAAAGAAGAGATGAAAGAGGCCAAAGAAGACATGGATTCAAAATCTAGCAAACAAAGTGGACCTTACACACGAGAACATTTAGTCCGCTGATCTGATTGTTTGTTGAGATGAGTTACGACAAGAATTAACATCGCAGTACTCGGGGCATTCCCACAAGTATTCCGTCCTTATCTTCAGCAGCCTGAGCAGACTCCAGTACTGATGGTACCGGTCACAATCTGGTTATATGTTCGTCTCGTCTTGAGTGTAGTGAGCCGGCCGGCAGTTTGGTTACATCCAGCTGCCTCATTCTCTCCAGGCCCCAATTTCGGATGGTCAGAAATGAAAAGACCTGATCAAACAGTCAACAGTGGACCTTACAAACAAGAACATTTAGTCCGTTTATCTGATCAACAGAAACGGAAAGACCCGATCAAACAGTCAAGAGTGGACCTTACACATGAGAGAAAATTTAGTCCATTCATCTGATCGTCAAAAAACGGAAAGACCTGATCAAACAGTCCAGAATTGACCATCACACAAGAACATTTAGTCCGTTCATCTGATCGTCAGAAACGGAAAGACTTGATCAAACAGTCAAAAACAATGACTTACCATTCACACGGAGTAAGACATGCTGTATCAGCTTGGCTCGACTGCTGATCTGGCATTCATACACTCCGGCATCTGTGGTCCGCACATCTTCAATGATCAGTCTCCATTCTTTATTCTCTGGACTGGCCTTGGCTGAGTAACGAGGATCTCCTACATAGACATGAGAGCCGATAGTCAGCGGGTTCGGATCTGACGCTCGTCGCCATATGACCTGTCCAGAAACAAAGAAAAATGTATATATGTTTGTATGTGTGTGTTTGTGTTTGTGTGTGTAAATATACATTTCTTTATTTCATTACTATGGCGTCCGTGACCCAACGTACCACGATCGAATCCTACTGCTGGCTGCATGGATTTTTATCATGGAAGGGGGCGTCAAAGGTGGTCGACCCAGTCTAAAATGGGTACCATGATGGATGTCATGGGGAAGTAAAGACGGCCAGCGTAAAGCTGACCACATTACCCAGCTAGTGCCGATGGTGTGTAACAATATGGGTGCGCTTCCCATATGCCCGATGTGCGTAAGGCGTAAAAAGGTATCTTCCTTTTTTTGGACGGGGGGGGGGGGGGGGGGGGGGGGGGGGGGGGGGGGGGGTTAAAAAATTGTATTACTATGCCATAATTTTAGATAAATGTTGTTTAAAGGCGAGAAGATCGGATTTTTATTTTTTGCACCTGGATTATCACGAAAAGCATGTCATTTTTACGCAGCCCTTGTCAAAAATCTCACATAAATCACTAACTCTACAGCTCATGCGACATGCCAAAAGGGTGCACCAGCGAACCGAAAGACGGAATATGACACCGACCCAAAATAACCTTTTGACCGAGAAGCAGAGTGCTTCACTGCCTTGCCACGGAGACATGCTTGTTGCGTCATGAAAATAATATTAATGCGCCTATTCTAGTTCAGTAGCTAAACTTAAATACACATATCCTGTTCAACCCCTCGCGGTTAAGATCGGGAAATATGTTATTTATTATTTCACAAAGCGATGTGCCGTGTAAACGAATACTGGAAGGAAAGGCAAACTGCACACAGAAGACAGTGGCACACGATCACTAGACTTATTTCCTATACTTTAGCAATCTGCGGTAGTGTAATGGCTAGAGTTTAACCTGCCAGCACTAAGTAATGTGCTGGAAGGTAAAAGCGGTCGGCAAGTGGTTGACCACATCTGACATCGAGTGCCTGTTGGTCTAAAAAAATAATATGAATCAAGCATCATAAGCCCGAGGAGTGTGAAGTAAAAGTAAGTAAAGATCCCTTTTCACGGCTTTCAGGCGTATCGGGTATATAAGAAGAGGACCCATATTTTCACAGACCATCTGCACTAGGTGGGCAATGTGGTCAGCATTAAGCCGACCGAAGCCCAATGAGAGACAGGCGTAAAAAATGGTCCCGAATAGACAGAAAAAAAAACAAAAAAACTAAACCTTTGAGACGGAAGGCAAGCGTCTAGCCACTACTTTACTGCAGCACCGTGTCCACATTTCCTGCGGATCAAAAGGTAGTGGGTTCACGTACTGAAGAAGCTTAACTACATAGAACCCACATAGAACCTTGGCTTCTAGGTCGACCTAGCCTTAAACAGCTACAGGAGCAATCCTCAAAAGTAAAGGCGGCAGACCATGAGGTCTAGCTATGTATGCCTAAAGCGCCTTCAGGAATGGAAAAAGGGCCGTTCTTTATTTTGCTTTATTCTCTCTCTCTCTCTCTCTCTCTCTCTCTCTCTCTCTCTCTCTCTCTCTCTCTCTCTCTCTCTCTCTCCCTCTCCCCCTTTCTCCCATAAATCACAGTGTTAATGACATTTCACATGTTTCAGCTTGTCTACCTATTACTGTAGAAAATATGCCCACAGAAATTTATGTCGAAATCGGCTGTTTTAGCCACAGACGAAACGAAACCCAGCATCCAATTCGGTTTACTCACAAAGTTATGCCTAACTGTTTATTTCGTGACTCGCAGCAAAGATAGCAAGACGATAATAAATACGTAATAACATTGATGTTTCCCTGGTTTAAGTGCTTGAATTCGTCGTGTTCACTGTAACTGCCCTGCCATAGTTGTTCGCGGAAATTGCAAACGAGTATAAAACGCGATGTACGGTTGTAATCCAGTTTTTGATAATGGACAGAAAATATACATTCAACCCAAAAGAGAGGTCGGAACGTTCTGTTGTAGTTTACAGCTGGGCTGTGATATCTTTCATAGCTAGGCTGCGATATTCATACCTTTTTATGGACGACACACCTGATTTCAGCAAACCCTTGATTAGTAACCTTTCAACCCCATGCTATACTTGTTCAGAGGAGATGGGTTCATTCTTCCCTCTCCTCACCTCCGAAATGGAGGTCTTGAACCCACACTGGGTAATGGAAACGACAAAACTTAGGAGATGTTCACAAACGATTGTGTACCGTTATGATCTGCTTTCGATAGCAAAAGAATAGAAGGAGGTGCTACACGACATACACAACAGCAGTCCGCTGATTAGTAGTAGAGGTCACCCATCGACTAGTGCTTCGTCCCTTACGCCCTGAACAGGGTAGTCGCCGTGGTTTAGTGGCTAAGCGCTCGCCAGCATTGAGTGGGTAAAATGAACAAGTCCTGGGAAGCAAGGAGGCCAAGGTGATGCTGACCACATCACCCACCAAGAGCAGACTGGTCTATAAAATATAGGTCTAGCCCTATATGCCCAGAAGCCTGAATGCAAGGAAAAGGGCCCTTTACTTTTTTCTTTAACTTTACCTCCTAAACACTTTGAGGGGCGGGCCAACCCCGGGTCATGACTCACTGGCCTGGTACTATCCTGTGTGTTTGCGAACTCTTACAGACAAAATGAGACATTATTATAGCTACTGACACTTGGTTTATGCTGATGGCCGCTATCGCGTTTGCCCACCAGTCATCCTACACTACAGAATGAAATGACATTGGGTTCGAAGAGTTAAAGCTAAAGATAGAAAGTGTTGCATGATTACCGGTGATTTCGTCTTCTTCTTCTTCGCGTTCACCTGCTGTAAACTCCGGCGAAAAGTTTTGGCTGTTCGTCCACTTCTGTTCCAGAAACGGAGTGCTGCGTGCACATCTGTTTCACAGGTCTGACTCATTTGCATGCAGACAATTAGTGCCTTGCCTCTCAGGCAGATATACCCCGACTCCCAAAAAGTCGACTTTTACGACATGCCTTTGGGTAGGCAGTGGGTCTATTCTCGTTATTCCCACAATCGAGCCCCGGAAACCACACGGGGAACCGGTGATTTGATTGTTCAACTAAAATAATTATTTTCTCCCGATGCTTCTTCTAATGCTGCTTCACCCCTTTTCCCCCTTTTTCTTCTTCGATCAGTTATCCTGTTGTTTGTCCATCGCGAGTCATGAAGACCACTTTTCATCCAAAGTAGTAATGATCAAAGATTAAGAGTACGATGGTGGTTGATTAGATGGAAAGTTCTTGAGCAGTGCGGATAACAGGTGGAAGTCGTAATAAGTGTGGGTTTAGCAATATGGTTCTTTCTAGTCTGCCTCCGTTTCTCTGCCTGTGCAACCTCCGCTGCCTGGCAGGCTGGTGCACGATGCCTGAGGGATGCACGCCGACACGAACGGTCTTGTGCGGCAGCCTTTCACGTCGCTGTTGATGCCAAAGGAATTGAGAGCAATTTGATTGAGAATAGTTATCCTACAATGATGATAACGACCTCAACAAACTCGCACCAAGTGGTCTTGTCCTTTGCCTTCGCGTGCTGCCTTACATCCTCCCTAGCTTTCGATGCCATCTCCAATTATCTTCTCCATGCAACGTTTCTCAAAGTCTGACATGGTCCTAAAAAAAAATCAGTGTGACGATATAATTAATTTTCAGGATCACATCACATCGTTCGCGTGCCTGCACATACAAATACACATTCGCACACACACACACACAGACGCATGTATACAAACACTTCTATGTATATATATATTGTATAATTATAGCGCGTTTTAAAAGTCGTGGCCGCACACTTTACCAAATATCTCAAACATTTTTGAAGAATTTTTTTTAAAATATCTGGCCTTAGATTTCCCATGTCCTTATGAACAATTGCACAGGTGCTTCTATTCTCTTGAAGCAGCAAATTTTCTGGATTTTTTCATTTTTTTTCTCTACCCCGAAAAAATAGAATATACATAAACTAACACATGCGTGGAGATCGGAAATCAATTTATATGAGCAGCAATTGTAGTGGTTATTTTGATAACCTAAACCGCTTACAATGAAAAAATTGTGTTTGTGTAACTCACGGGAGACTTATGAGGGAGATGGCCACCAGACAATAAAACGCCTATAAAATCCGTACAATTTCATGTTTTGAAAGCTTTCCGTCACTCAGTTAACTGTTAGTATGCTGACTGTTTGCTTTGCATCATAACTGTTTTTTCGTACACAAAAATTAGGGCAAAATGAAGACTAAAAATTTGTTAACACCAATAAACAATTTTTATATAGGACATGAAATAACTACAAAGTAAATTTCTGGAAAGTAAAGGCGGCCGTCGCGAAGTTGACCACATTGCCCAGAAAGTGCCAATGGGTCTATAAAGTAGAAATTACAGGACACAGTTCAACAACTTACACCCAACAGTTACCGAGTTAAACATTTTGTTCAAAGTTAAGCACGACTTCTGAAGCGGACTGGTAACACCCAGCGTTTTGCAATGGAGTAAGCACACACATTAACCGACACCGCGAGAGGTAAGGGTTCTAGTTAGTTCTGACGGAGCCTGGCTTATTTTCTTTCCAAAAAATGACCTTGCCTCCCAGGTCAACATGGCTAAAGGTAAAGTCACAGGCAGTAAAGGCGGTCGGCGTGATGCTAACCACAGCACCCTCTAGATGCTGATGGGTCTATACAATTTAGGTAAGCCCAGTAGAAGCAATGCACCTGAGGGTATGGACAAGAGAGCTTTACTTCTTTATCTGACGACAGATAAAGGTGACGAAAGAGTTAAGGAAGAAAGCCCACAGACATAAAACACACACACACACACACACCCCACACACTCTCTCTCTCTCACACACACACACGCGAGAGCAAAAAAAGTATAGGACTTCAGTTACAACCAAGAATGAGAATAGAACGAGGTCTACATTTTTACACGGGCAGGAAGGATAGAAAATTACAATGGGCCTGCAAGACAACACTAGGAGATGAGGGAACATTAGTTAT